ATATATATGCATTTATTTTCTTCAGCATCGGAAAGTACTAGCTCGACTAATTTGGACGTGCATCAATTGCGTCCTCTAAGAGATGTAAAGTACTCGACCCTTACAAAAAGTTTCTCCATCAAAGTTCAAACACGAAGCCCCGGATAAAGAGTTAAGGGTGAAGGAATATATCTCAACTATTTCATCATACCGCTTGGTTGTAACATTATGCATTAAAAATACTAAAGAGATTTCATTTCAATTTTACTTTGATCTTTTGTTGCCCTACTGAATTGTGCTATAGAGGTTTGTTTATAACTTGGATGCTAGCTATTTCTGTATATTTTTGCAACTTATGGAAATCCATTGTATAGAGCTACTATATAGACTGGCTAATTTTGAAAATTGCTCAAGGGGAAAGAATGTCTATTTATCTAAGTATTATGAGGTACTATGACATTATATCAAATATAAATGGATAAAATTGATTGTCCCCTCTTTCTTATTATTGTGATCATAGCTTGCTTTATTAAGTTTTCCGTGAATGTATAATTCTTAAATTATTAAAGAATTAATCTCAAGGTCCATAACTAAAAGTGTTATATCAAATTGTTCTCTTTGGACAAAGTGGAGTATTCTCTATCTCTCATTCCATATATCATCGTATTCATAAATGCTATAAAGATAACTATAACCATAATACAAGCACACGTATATTCATATAAACATACCTATAATTCAATTTATTTAAAAAACTTGCAGTAAAATAGAATTTCTAGAAGCAAAAAAGAGCACAACTGAAGACATCTTGTTGACGAGAGTAAACTCGGGAGAATCTGACCGTAACCATGGCTTTGACACACGATCAAAGGTTATGGTGAGATGAACTAGATCCCTCCACCTTTAATTAACGGTTTTGAGTATGTAAATGAAATAAATCTTGATAATAAGCGTTTTTCCTGTAATAAATCTTATGCAAAACAAATTTGGATTAATCAGAAAACCAATATAAATATCGAACACATTAGAACGGGACTCTATCTTTATTTTCGCCCGATTAATCAGTTCTTCAAAAGATCTATAGTGCCGAAACCCACAAAAAAAAAGGAAAAAAAAAACAATATACTTCTGGCCCCTACCTTCAAACTCTCAAATACCTTCTTGGTACTTTCTTACGAATCATCCACTAAACTCTTAAGGCTCCAATTGGATATACCACTTGTTTTATTCCCTTGATAATGATAATACCTATTACAATGACATCTATGTTCTTATATTCCTTCAAATTAAAGCATTATTCTAATACTCAGCACTTAGCATTATAATATAAAACTTTGAACAAAGCAAACTTTTTGGATTTGTTTGCCATTTCCACTCGACTAAAGAATAAACATTGGGAAAAACAAAAGTTTTGGTTCAGAGGAAACATCACTATCTTGAAAAACAAAGCAAAGTATTAAATAATAAATTATTATTATATATATATTCTTGGCTAAGTTATGGTTGCCGCCCTTTTGATCAAACCCCATAATCCCACGTTTAATTTACTTGGACATAAAATAATATTTTAATATAAGATAGTGTAATATTTTAGTCAAGCACGTTTCTTATATATAAATTAAAGGAAGGGAATCTATGAAGAGGCAAAGAGAAAGAGGAATCAATTTCCAAGGAGGTAGCAAAGCAAAGTTCATTTTCAAGATCATACTTTCCTTGACTCCCTTTTCTCAAGGCTTTTCTTTGCATGTAGAATCCATCATTTCAATATATATGGCTTTCTTTACATTGTATCAAGACGTGAGAACTTATCTTAATGCATCATCCACATGTGTACTTTTGATACAATAGTAGTCTAGGAGAAGAGACAACTTAGACCACTAATAGCCCCCCCACCCCTACCCCACCCCACCCCA